AGGAGAATCACTTGAGCCCGGTAGTTGTGAGCTGTGATGCCATGGCACTCTACCCAGGGTGACAGCTTGAGGCTCTGTTTAAAAAAAAAAAAAAGATTGTGTCTGGGTGAGGCTCTCAGCCTGTACCAAGAATCTAAAGTGAACATAGCCAGTAAATTGCCACCCCTGCCATCATCCTTCAAGCAGACCAAATCCCTGTGTGTCCTGAGCCCACTAAGTTCTCTGCCTTTGGACCTTTGTACATGTTGTTTCTCCACCTGGAGAACTTGCCCACGGCCTCATCTGGCCACCTCCTACTGGACAGGCATCAGCATCACTTCCCCTGGGAAGTTTCCCCAGTGTCACAGACTGGTTAGGTGCTGCTCATACACCATGCAGCCTTATGTCAGATTGTATTTAGGCCTCTTACTTCCTGCTGACAGGTGAGCCCTGCTTTGTAGAGACCCAGGCACTGAGGTCCCCAACACCTGGCATGAAGAGACTCTGTGTGGGAAGAGGCAAGATAAGCCAGCTCTCCACGTGGGGAAAAGGGGTGAGGTGGGGGAAACCTCAATGAGGGGACCACTTATTCTGGGCTCCCACCCATTCTGAGCCTGGCTGCTGGCCTCTCTTCCTCTTCCATAAAACAATGTGGTCCAGGAAGTTGAAAGAGGAGTACTCACTGCCTCAGGAATGGTGACAACTGGGAGGGACCTAAGGAGCAGGAGTTTCACAGCCCCTCAGAGTCCTGGTTCCATCTCTAGTTAGGTTACTAGCTCAAGACCTAAAGAGACAGGACTGGAATGACATTCAATTAGGCTGATCCTGAGCATGTGTGAGGCACAGCCCTGTTCTCAGAGAGCACTGAGTCTGGTGTGAAGCCTCATGGTGTGAACCCGGGTTGGAGCTGGGCAGACATGGGCTCTGGTCCCAAGTTGTGTGGCTTTTGAGAGCTTGGTTCCCTTCTCTGAAGATCAGTTTTCTCATATGCAAAATGGGAAGAGTAATGGAACCTGCCTCATAAGGTGGATGTGAAAGTATAAAGTTAAGAAATGTTAAGGAAAGCTCAGACATCACAATGCCTGCTGCCTGAAGCCAGTGTCACAGGGGCTTTTGAGGTGAATCTAGAAGGGCAGATAGAGGCAGACAGGTCACCAGGGGGAAAGGTTTGCTGTCCAGCCGAGTCCTAGGAACTGAGCCCTCTGCAGTCGCTCACCAAACACTCAATACACCCTTTGAACGTAGGTCTTTGTGGCTGAGACAATTGTTCCCCCTCAAATATCCACGCACTCACCCTTATTTCCCAGCCTCTCTCATGGGCAGTTTGGGCCACATGACTAATTGTAGTAGAAGTCATACCTGCCAGATGGGGGGAATCAGGAGTTGATGTGTTCTTTTTTCCTGCTGCAGTGACTCTGGTGGCCACATGTTCTGGCCATATAGCTACAAAATGGAAGAGGGTTACCAGACCCTCATCAGACTCGAAACAAATAGACCTTTATTGTGGTCAGCCATGGAGGGCTGGGGACTGTTTGAGGCAGCTAATGGTAACTGCCCTGCTGAACACAGTGCTACTATTGTTGCCACTTTATAAATGCCAAGTCAGTTCCCTGTGGTCACATAGCTCAGAAGAGGGCAGAGTTGGGGTTCAAAACCAGCCCCAACTTGTATGGCTGTTTTTTACATACTATACTTCCCTCATCTCCCAATAGGCAGTCCCTAAGCAATGCCAATCCAACCCAAAATCTCCAGAGAACATCCAGCAGGGACAGGTCCAGAGAGGAAGCTGGGGGACAGAATGCCGAGCCAGGCCAGTGTGCAAGCCTGTCACTCTGGATCACTCGTCTTCTCTTCTGCTGTGAGGGATTATTCATGATAAGCAACACACAGTGAAAAATGATGACAGCTCACCTTGCCTGGCAGAGAATTTCAACCGGACACTGGAACCCTAGTTCCACACATTGAGTTACAAGGGAAGAATTCTTCCCAATGTCACTATTGTTTACTCTCACCTGTACCTGTCTTTCTTTAACCCAGAAATGCATATTGCAAAGCACAGGCTTCAGAGTCAGACTTGGGCTCAAATCCCTGTTCTGCCACTTACTGCTGTGGGTGACCTTGGGTAAGTCACTTTGCCCCTCCGAGCCTCAATGTCTGCATCTGTTAAGATGGGGAGAGTAAGACTAATTCCCCATAGGATGGAGTTAAGCATCAGATAATGGATGTAAGGTACCTAGCACAATGCCTGGTGTACGTAAGCCTGTTTTAATCCAAGGCAGGCTCTCTTTCTCTTGGATATGACTGTGGCTATCAGAGAAGAAAGACTCGGAATACAGACAAGTTTATTGACAAATAAGGTACACATACCCTACACAGGTATCGCTGGGAATATCCCTTCCTCCCTGCCCCATTCTTCTCTAGAAAGAGGCTGAGGCAAGAGAACTGCTTGAGCTCAAGAGCCCTTTGGGCTTCTAGAAAAGGGCTTCTGGCATTTTCTTGTTGGAAACCCTGGAGGTGTGCTGGCTAGGCTCTCAGCTTCTCATGTCCACA